TCATTCATCTGAGCTTGCTCAAGTCGAGTTGACAGACTTTTCTTTTCCTCCTGGAGGTTCGAGACCTGATTAGAAGATAGTTGAAACGTGTTACTAGCGTCTTGTCGCATCTTTGTGATCTCGTTGTCAGCGTCCCGGCGCATGGTTTGCATGGTCGTTTGATGCTGGGTTACTTCAGCCTGGAGGTTGCTATATAGGCCTTGCAACTCCGACATCTTCTCCGTCTTCTCTTGAGAGCGACGGGTCAAATCTGCGCAGTCTCGTTTCTTGCTGTGCAACTCTTCTGTCGTATTTTGGAGCTGTGCTTGGAGGTCCGTTATTTCGGCCGACTTTGACTCGAGCGTTTGAATGTTTTTACTCAGCTCATCTAGTTGGGTATCTGCAGCATTCAGCTTGTCGTTCAGCTCTTGAATTGTTTTCTCTTTCTCGTCGTGATCGATCGTAAGTCGATGGATCTCTCTCTTGAAGCTGCGCTCTTTCTCCGAGAATTCACTTTGACAGTCCTTTGCTATCTGCTCTCGAACGGCAGCGTGTTCTTCGAGCTGTTCACAAAATTAGTGAAGTCGCGAGATAAGGCGACCTGTTTACCGCTGGCCTCTGCTGCAACTCGCGCAGCTGCATCTTGACGTCTTCACAATAGCCCTGCTGATTGTCAAAACCATGGCAACAAGGATGAGCTTGGAAACGGTTACTTCGTATGTATCCCTTTCTTTCTCAATCTCCTTAACCTTGGTATTGACCGTTGTGAGATCTTCTCTCGCCTTCTGCAACTTTTGACGGAGATCAAGAGCTTCCTGCTCAAGCCCTGATGTATCGATAGGTGGAACGTCTTTCAGTACCCCCAGGTCGCGTTCTAGTTGCTCGCACGAGGCTTTGAGATCGACTTCAACCTTTTCGTAACCTTTGATCTGCTCTTCTAGTCGGGTGCAATGTTGTTGCTGCGCATCGAGTCGCGACTTGAGACAGACGTTCGATTCATGCGTCTTGCAGTTCTCGGCTGTGACCTCCTCATATCTCAGCATTTCTGTCTGGAGACTGTTTTTTTGTTCTTTAACGAATTCTTGAAGCTCTGCGTCAGGTAGTGCTTTGCTCGTTACGGTCTTTGAAAGAGTATCGAGACCTAAATCCAGGCTGTGCAATAAATTAGTACGGTGACATGTAGCAGATATAGCACTGTCACTGACCGTTCGTGCACAAGATTCGGTGTATTACTCATCCTCTCAATGTCTTGCATTGTCATGACAGGTGTCAGCCGAAGGGGTTGCAAGGCCTCTAAACACTCTTTGATTTGGTCATTCTGGCTACTGTGAGCAGTAGCGTTATCAAGCGTGACCTGGAGCAATTCGATCTTTTTAGTGAGAGCAACGGAGCTGTCGACAACTTGACGCGGAATGCTTTGGACATCAGAAAAAAGCTGCTTCCCGAATTCATTGCGCTTCTTGCGCTCTTCCTCTAGTGCAGCTTCCTGCTTGGCCAAATTTTCTGTCAGATCCTCCCTCTTAGACTCCGATACGACAAATCGTATCCAAAGGTCATCGAGCGTCGACCTCATCTTGCGTTGGGTTGCGGCGAGCTTGTCAGTCATTGTCCCAACTTCTTCCTGTAATGACCGCTTTTCGTCCTCGAGTTCGGTGATCTTCTTAGTCAATGTCTTTCCGCACTCTTTATGGAAGCTTGTAGCGGACTTTTGCAGATTCTCAGAGTCCTGCTGAAGGCCCGTGACGAATCTTTGATTTGTCTTGGCCGTGTTGGTGAGTTGACTAAGAGTTTTTCTCAGGTCCCGATACCTCCTGTCATGATCTGCGATCGACTGAATCTGATTGTTGATCGTGCATTGAAGCTCAGCAAGCTCAGCCTTATGTTTCTGGGTGAGCGTCGTGATCTCATGCTGTATCCGATACTTGTTCGCAAGTATCGCTACTCTCACGGTCTCCATGGCGTGCTCGACACTAGGAGAAATGGCTTTTCCTTGGGTATCATACGATGTTGGTCCGCTAGGTCGTAACTTCCGTCGTGATTTGGTCATACGGAGAGGCCCGTCTCGATTCGGGATGCCATGCGGATGAGCTTCGTTAATCCTTGGCTGAGGTGCGACCCGATTGTTGTCTGCGTACAAGCTCGGCTGGTGAGACTGAGTCGGTACAGCGGGTGCTTCGACTGGCTCGTGACTGTTAGGCAAGGCATAGGGACCAGAAGTCTGGGCTGAGAACGCAACCCGTTTATCAGGGCCGATACTGCGAGCTTGATCGTGAAAAGTTGTCAACGGTTGTTGCTTTGGCTCGGTTGTATTAAGTGTCTCAGGCGAGGTCGAGGGACCCTGCACGGAAGCTGTAGGGAACTGACGTTGAGTAGAGGAATCTTGAAAGTCTCGGAAGGTCGTATCCATGAGGCTTGGTATAGTATTGCAGGGCTCCTTGTCGTCAGCAATACACCCATGTTCTTCATTCGGTAACTGGGACTCTTGAGCATATGCATGCCTTTGTGGATCGTCGACAGGAGCGCGGAAAGCATGTACTCCATCGCCATCCGCGTTCATTTGGGAGAGAAATAGAGGGTCGGTGGAGGTATCAGGTGCTGATCCACCAATCGTTCCGGCTTGACGAGCGTGGCTTGGTGTGATTCTTGGTCGGGGACGTGAGCCTAGACGCTGCTGAGAGAGCTGTTCCTTTCTATGCTTCCTACCCTTCTTGACACCGGGGACCCTATTCATTCCAGAAGCAGGCCTGGCGTTAAGCTGTGCTGAAGGAGGGATGCTAGACATCGCATCCGCCTGCGGGGGCCTAAGCGTATTAGTGGAGTTCTATCGGCTTGCTGGGAGCTCTTACAGGGTGTAAGTAGGCTCTTCCTGAGATCTTCTAGTGGCCGTTTGATCCACGACGTCCATATTTTGGTTGCTCATAGTACATGGCTCACCAAGATGAGCGCTGTCGGGAAGACACGGTGGTGGAACGTGTGCAGGCTCTACCGTCGCAGTGACGATGTTAGTCGGATCGACCTTGGGTAGGACGCTTACTCACCTCGAGATGCATGACCTTTGTGCTTTTGGATATCAAGTGTTCTCAACCCGAGATGAATAGACTGCGCGGCAGTAGCAACCTCCTTCGGAGGTGGCTTACTGGAAACTTTCCTTGCCTGTGAGTATGAGATCGCGAATGGGTTAGGGCTTGGAGCTGCTGATGCAGAGCTGTCATTCCTTCCAATAGGATTCCTCGAAAGAAGCTTGCCAAAGAATGGAATGCATTGAGTCGTCTCCGTCTTCTTCGTCACCGCAGTGCGCTCCAGAAGGGCCACGGAGTTTGGACTTAGACTGAACTCGGACTCATTGTCGGCAACAGGGTCGCCACAATGGAAATCTCCAGCGTGGCCAGGCTGAGTTTCGGGAACAATCGTATCGCTGTTTGGAACCTGAATGGCGGTGCTCCTGCGATCCCGCTCATCGTCAGTTGATTCTGGGCGTACTTCATTTCTGAGTCTTGAGGGGTTCTGCTCCTTCGGCAGCTGCTCGCCTCTTCCAGCCTTCCCAGCCATGGTAAGTGGCTGTTCAGTGACAGGTGCGGTGCGGATGCGAGTAGGTGAGATGGGGTGGAAAACCAGACAGAGTAAGTGAACGGCAAGAAACAACACTGCAGGTCAGCTGTTCGATGTAGATGGAAGCGATATGTTGTGTTGTGGAAGGAGTGAGGGGTGGCGAAGTTTGCAGCTCTGCTCTCATCGTCGTTCTTTCCTTCATTTGCTGTGGCAAGTCACAACATAACTTCCGACTAGAACGCCCGAGCTAGACATGATGGCAGGAGCGATGATACGAGAAACGATACCTACGGAAAGCGGAACAATTGTCGAAGCTTCACTGCACGCATCCCACCTCATTACACTCGGCCACCTCTCTTGCTGCGGCATACTCTGTCATCACAAAGTCCAGATCATTACTTCCTCTTTGATTTCCGTCGTATATGAAGCAACGGCCACTAGTTTCCAAGTCCAGTATTCTCAGCATGTCGTGTCGGAATATCGTTCACATTGCAGTGATCACAGCTATAGCCTGTTCATCGAAGGATAGCTCAATACCTCTTGCTACGCTTTGCTCTGAGTCGCTGAAATCCTCTCCAATTACCGTCGATGTCCTCTCGTCTATTTCTAGACGATGCCTGGCGTGGCAGCGGACACATGATGGCAGACGTGAAACGCGACAACTCGAATGAAATTGCATCCACCGACGCATCACACTGACAGCCGTCGTGGATTTGGGTGACAGCATGCATCCGCCAGACTAGTTCCTGTATTGCCAGTGTTTGCGGGGAAGGTCGTTTTGCCTGTCATCTGAGTTCTTTTTTTGCATCGTATGATTCGCATTGCGCCGTAAGGTTGGTGGCTAACGTGAAGCGTACCGGAGATGAGGAGCCAGAAATACCTACGTACTACGGCCACACCGACTACGATAAGCGGTAGCTGTCACAAGTACGCCTTGCAGTTGACGAAGAAGAGTCGTCTTCTCGCATGCTCTCCCTGAAACACAAGCGTGCGGCGACATGCTAGCCGGGCGCTTCTTACCAGGGTCCATCCAATCACACTTCAGCCCGCCCTAGCTCCGCTGCACGGTGATCTTCATCCACGACGTTACGCGCCCACTACCCATCACGCCCTGCCAATCCCCTCAGCTTATCCTCCCAAGCCGACAAAAGTCGACGCCAATGCCGCTATATTAAGAAGATGGCCTGATGTATTCTCCGGCAGCCAACCTGGTCTGCCGTCCAAGCGCACGATGGTAACCGCCCAGGAGCCCTGAGACTGGCGGGGTATTGGACGAGCGATAGGGAAGGTATTGGCTTGGGTAAAAGATGTTTGCACGCGGGCAGGCAAATATAGAGACATGCCCTCCGTCCCGGTAGCGAGTTGTTGGTATTCCTCCAGTTGATCGAACGTCCTTCACGCCATCCTCGTGCAACCTGATATCCGATCACTTGTCCCGTCTGCGCCGCATTTCAACACTAGATACCAACACCATGAGCAGGCCTCTCCTCTTCTCCCTTCTCCTCCCGCTTCTCGCCCTTGCTCAGGACTCGTCTTCGGGAAGCGAGCTTCCCCCTCCCGGCTACAATGGCGGCAACGACAACCCGCAAGATCCAAGTGACGCTGGTGCTGCGGGATCGCAGAAGGGTGCTTTCGAGCTCTCCGGAGGTGCTATCGCAGCGATCATTGTGGTCGCGGTCGTAGTCGTGCTTGGATCCAGTATGTCTCACAGTACAGAATTGAAGATGCATGAACTAACATCAGATCAGTTGCCTCAGGAGTACTCTGGTGGCTCGCGAAGAAGCGCCAATGGGACGTTCGAGCATCCATTCGTCGTGCCTCTCGCCGCTTCACTGGCCGCTCCACTGCCGACACAGGCAAGCAGAACCGCCAGAACCGAAGAACAGGCATCAGACTTAACTCGCCACCCCCAAGCAAGAACGCCAACAAGATGCGCGATATCGAGAAGGGCCTTCCTCTGTCCAACAAGGCACCACAGACTACAACTACAATCACGAGCGTAATGAGGTGAAGATTGAGACGCATGGCGAGAAGGAATCGAAAGCAACACAAGCGTGGCCACGCTGGCCAAGGCACGCGTCGACTCCGGAGACGACAGCGCAGCTTAGAGGCAGATGTCTCGTGACTCAGGGCCATCGCAACGTCCCTGCACATGTTGTACCTCTAAGACGGCATCTTGGAGAGCGTGCGGGGTGGCGTTCCTGGGGCACGTATGAACGTTATGGTTATGATAGCGATTAGGGAGCGATTGATGTTCGCTCAAGCTTATGGAGTACTTGCATCCGGAGGGTCATTATTTCTTCTTCAACATATTATGATACCACACACTTTTCGGGAAAATTGGATAATAGACGCATCGGTCAGCGTCGAAGAGGCTAAGACGTGGACCGTAGATTTCGATACGGCCCAAATATCAATACTTCCAAATAAGCAAACACCTCATCTTCTTCACGTTTTGTCTTGCACGATTCATCCTGAAAACTGACCAATGCAAAGTAATGAGACAGGCAGTAAGACTACTCCTCGATTACACGCTAACCTGGAGACCTCTCATCTGACCACATGCCTATGGATAAACGGCGGGAATAGCGTGGAGAAGGCTTGGAATATGCGGCCATGAGCTGATCTGACTCCACTATTCCGACGTTACGGCATGCGCCCGGCTGGGCGCTGACTTGGTATGCCGGCTCTGCATGGCCGGGAATTTGACCCAAAAGTGCGTGGGGGACGACGGTCCCACCAAGAAAGGAAATTGCATCCTGCAATCGAACACCCAGAATAGCGTGTTATATTCTTGGTGCTGGTAGCTTATTGTAGGGAGAGTGAGAACACAGAGTTATCGTCGCGGGTCATGAGAGGTGATTGTTTGCCTCACATGTTCACAGGCGTGGGAGGATTTCGGAGCTTGTACGCCGTACACGTTCGCTTCTGCAACTCTTCTCTAGTAAGGCAATTTGTACGTTTCCCGCAAAATCGCATCAGATATATCTGTAAGGGTCCCTTTTGTGTTTCAACTACTTAGCATACCGGCGATTTGCAGTTATCCATGCATCTGTAGATAGCAACCCTAGAGCGATTGACATGTGATCTGGCGACCACGCTAGTACCAAAGTGTTCCAACGACGCGTTCCCCGCATCGTGTTTCGTGCCTTCGCATCTCCAAAACACGGCACTTGCAGCAAAACCACTCAGAGAAGACGAAATGTCGTCTCGAACTCGGCACTCGACAGCGAGACCGTCGGCCAGTCGCCAGTCCGTGGCATCTACTCCAAACCGTACCAACAGCAGTAATCGCAATGCCGACCTCCTGCCAGAGTACAAGAAGCCGTCTCACCCCCTCGATGCAGAAGCGACACGAGAACTGCGCAGCCTACAAGGGCGTAATATGAACGATATCAAAAGGCATAACAAACAAGCCACCGAGCACATCACCAATGCTGCAGCCAGTGTCAATGACATGCTGCGCGAACACGCTGAGTACATAAGCCGGCGACAGAAGAAATGGGACGCAGGCAAGAGTCTGGACGACAAAGAAGATGAAGAGCGCGTCATGGCAGAACTGCAGGCGAACGTAGACGAGGCGACTATAAAGCTCGAGGAAAGCATGCGAGCAGTCATCGACTCGGAGATCGCAGCGCAGCGCATCGAGGAAGCCCTGGAATGGTTGAGGAGTAATGCGCCTGCGCGACTGGCAGAAGAGTATGAGACTCAGATGACGCAGCGCGAAAATCAGCGACAAACCCAGACCCAAGCAGCGAGTCAGCGGGCACACGCACGAGACAGGGACGATGATGAGATGGATGATGGACCAACACCTGGACCTACTCCTCTTGACGGTTCTCGTGTAGCCCTCACCGGTGCGAGCGAGCTGTTTGCAGCGCGCATACAGCGCGAAAAGGACGCCTACACAGCGCGCTCGCACACAAGCCGCTACGCCCGTAACAACGACTACCGCGACTTCAAGCGTACGGTGCACGACGCGAAATTCGGCGACGACGGCCCCGTATTGGGACATGAAGACACATGGTTCACCGAGTCCGGATCGCCAGCGCCTGGCATTACGGACACCACACAACGGGGAGAGTTTGATGATGATGATGACATTGTAGTCGACAGGGCTACAGTCAGCACGAGGTGTCCCATCACGTATCAGCAGTTCAAGGAGCCATATTCGAGTAACAAGTGTCCTCACACATTCGAGAAGAATGCCATCCTCGATATGATCCGAAAGGGCCCTCACAGAGTGGACGGCCAAAAAGCTGTGGAATGTCCCGTCAATGGGTGCGACAAAGTAAGTGCCGCCACATATTATTCCGACTCGTTCGGCTACTCTTCCCGCTATGTGCCTGTGCTGACATTGCTTCTCAGATGCTCACCGCAAACGACGTTCGCACCGACCCTATCCTCGTACGCAGGATCAAACGCATGCAGCAAGCTGAACTTGAAGGTGACAGTTCAGACGATGATGTGAAGGCTCCTCGTCGGGAAATCCAGAAAATCGACGGTAGCGACGATGACATGCCTGATGCGAGCTCAAATCTACAGGCTCCCAGAACTCGACAACCAACACAATCAAGCAATATTGAGGATCTCGGAGACCCGAGTGACAGTGAGATGTCAACTTAGTCTATGTGCTGTTGTTTCGGCGTTTGGGCTTCGGATGGGCTGAATGATACCCAAAGATGCAAACATCTAGCGATTCTAGCAGAAGATGTTGAGACAGCGGACAAGCTGCGCGGTTTATGCGGGATAGCACTTAATCCCGAAGAGGGTACCAGTCTTCTGTACCACAATGAATTCTCAACAATACGTTCGCAAGCCTTTCGTTCCTTCTGCAAGCGTTCAGACCCGGCTGTGCGCCTCCACATCCCCGACCCTGTGTCGAAAAATGTCTGACCTTCCACTTGTCCACGGACATTTCCTCGGCAACAGATCTGATACCACGCAATGGCAGAACCCGCTTTAATATTCTTCCGTTAACAAAGTGCTTCACAGCTTGTCGTCACCCACGATGTCTTCGGCCGCGGATACCTTCGGGTCACCGAGTCCAACTCTGGCCGCGCACCTGAGCACAAGATCTGAACACCGCCCCATTGAGCGCCAAAGAACCCAGGGTCTCGCCCAAAGCAAAACGATCTCTTTGGTTGACTTCGATCTGCGAAACGACGGTATATCAACACTCAACGAGTAAAAAGCATAGAGCATATCATGCACATCGGCAAAGAACGACGCACGGACGCACGTTGTGTTTACGGAAATCCAAATCTTACCCGGAAAAGCACAGTGAGATCACTGCATCTAGTGCCAGGGTATCGCGACAGCGCATCTTGATGTACTGCCACACAGGTTTGCTGATGGTTAGACTTATTGGCATATGACAGAACGCTCTGGTGTTGAAGTTGCAATCTTTCGATTGGCCGAGGGCTGGCCGTTACGACCAACGTCATCGCTCACATGCAAGCGGTTCCGCATGTGGCGCAATAGAGACGGGATTCTCTGTGCCTGAAGATCGTGTATCTCCCGAGGTGTACCATGGGCAAAGACATGAGCCTCAACGGTACATGGGAAAACGGATGGCTTGGACACGCGACAATCAATGCGCCCAGCTTGTGCCGCTCCGCCGTGCACGTTAAACTTCAACATGGAGACCTGTGAAGTAAGGATGGCATCAGAGTGTAGGAAATCGGTGCTGCCCGATTGGCCCATCAGCAATTGGCACCTCGTAGGACGAGCAGCTGTTCACCTCAGTGGCTCGTTGGGGCAGCTCTTCGATGCGGGGAAACGCAGCTCACCCCTCAATTCATGGCACCGGTCGACTGGCTGGCCTTGTTGACAACTAAGAATAACAGATCATCGTGCTACTCCTGTCCTCCGAGTATCTTCACTCACAGCCTTGTTCACAACTTTGTTCTTCTGCTCTATCAGCTTGACCTGTACTGTCGCATTGTCGTTTGATACTAGAAAGCGGGTAGTCGAGCGCATACCACCATACCCACTAAACCCGCGACCCACACCCCACTCCTCCGACGCGGACTGGATCCTCCGCACAGACTTCAGCGCACGAGGTACGCACCCAACTATGCTCCTACACCGTCTCTCAGCATCCACAATTTACTTGCGCGGGTGCAATCGGAAAAAGAAGGGTTATCGCACGTGCGTGAGCTTTCGGCTGCGCTCACACGTCCGATGCCAATCTTTCCTGTGCGCCGGAGGAAGCTGTACATCTATGTCATAGCCGGCTAGCTTGCGACGTCCACGGCCGCGGTGAAGGGCGCATGGGAACTGCGTCTCAGGCTGAGGCTCTGCCCAGGCCAGCACCTTACGCAGACGCCATGTCGTAGTGCCATGATGCTGGGATATAGATTCGGCCATGGAGTCTCTTTTGTGGACTTTCTTACTCCATCAGTTCCAGTCTTTCTTCACATTTGTTCTATTCTCGTGCAGCATAGCGACAGCGATATACCCCTCTGGTCCATTTTTTCTTCATCTTCAAATAATTCGTCTTATCAAGACTGTTGGCTGTCACTGACAACGCAATGTCAACAACAGCAGCCGCCAGCTCTCAAACCCTTAAGATGCCCGCCGCTCGCGCCCTCGAAAACGCAAAGCAATCTTCAGAAGCCGTTCTAAAAGACACATCCTCCGCCATGTCCAAAGCCGCTGAGAACCCCAAGAAAGCTACTGCAGACTTCCTACATACACCGTTTATGCGCGCAGCACTACCATTCGTAAACGGTGGTATCGCAGGCATGACCGCAACAACCGTAATCCAGCCCGTAGACATGGTAAAAGTGCGTCTACAACTCGCCGGAGAAGGTGTAAAAACTGGACCCAAGCCCACCCCAGTCACAGTCTTCAGAGACATCATTGCACAAGGCAAGGTCCTAGATCTTTACACAGGACTCAGCGCTGGTATCCTTCGCCAAGCCGTCTACACAACCGCCCGCCTGGGTTTCTTCGACACATTCATGAAGCAACTCAGCGCACGTGCAAAAGAAAACGGCACAGCGATTGGCTTCAAAGAACGTGCAGGTGCTGGTCTAGCCGCAGGTGGTCTCGCAGCTATTGTGGGCAATCCTGCTGATCTTGCGCTCATCCGCATGCAATCCGATGGAATGAAACCCGCTGCTCAACGCGCAAACTACACATCCGTTATTGATGCCCTCGTCCGCATCAGCAAGCAAGAAGGCGTCGCACGGTTATGGGCAGGCAGTTACCCTACCGTCGTCCGCGCTATGGCCCTCAACTTTGGACAATTGGCTTTCTTCTCGGAAGCGAAACAGCAACTCAAGAACACATCGTTGTCATCCCGCACACAGACTCTCACTGCGTCAGCTGTAGCAGGTTTCTTCGCGTCGTTCCTATCTCTGCCATTCGACTTCATGAAGACGAGATTGCAGAAGCAGACAAAGGGACCTGACGGTACATTGCCTTACAAGGGCATGTTTGATTGCTTCAAGAAGGTTGCAAAGGAGGAGGGTTTGCTAAGATTCTACCGTGGCTTTGGAACGTACTACGTGCGCATCGCGCCGCATGCGTAAGTTTTCTCTCTCCCTGTGCTGTGGATCCAAGTACTAACTTCATTAATAGCATGGTGACACTTATTGTTGCCGATTACTTGGGCTTCATCACGAAATGATCGTCATGAGCTAGGAATATATTTGTTTTTTGTGCAGAGGCGTTATTGCGGGAATCATGGCGTTCAGAGCTGGCGATCCGCCATACGAAGTCTTTTTTCGGGTTCCTTTCTTTATCTCGACCATGGCTGTGATACGTGCCGTGCTATTGGAAGATTCTCTCGTGTATAGGCTAGAAGTAACGATGCGACATTTTCGGCATTCACATATGCGGATGCTGTCATGGTGTGTAAGGAGAAGTCTTTCTTGAATAGTACGAAGATGCACAGCGCGTGGTATGTCTCGACCCTGTTGACTTGTGTCAGTGACGTGTAATGCTATGTCTGAGTATTGTTCATTCCAATCACGGGTATCGTGACAATGCAGAGCAGATAAGCCACTTACAACGTCAACAACACCTACCATACTGGTAAGAAACCGTTTACACGAACGAGGACTACCACGAGATGAAGAACCTCCTGAATAGTGATAGCAGGGATTCTGCGGGTATAGTCATGCAATACCATGAACTTCGAACCTAGTCCCTTACGACCGACTGGTGTGTGTCTATCAAGCTAACGAAATGGTCAGGGACGCACTAATAATGGCGCCTACGATGGCACAAGAAGAAGAGTAGACACTCGAAGTAGCACCCCATTGCGCAAATGACCAGCATCTACCGGACTGTTCTTCCTCCATTCGTCCAGGTTGAATAGTCAAGTTGAGTATACTATATAGATTTGTACCACATTTCCCTCTTCTTTGCTCCAGCAGCTGAAGCCATACCATGGAAGTGCTGTTTCGGTAGGAGCAACCGTCCTATCTACTCTCTTCGAGGAAGCGTAGTCGTTCTTCAAAGTATGTGTATCATGACTGCTGTTTCTGTCCGTTGATATTTGTGGAATCCAGGGATCCCAAAAGCTCTGTTGTGTAGACGGGCGGTCTCTGCGAAGTGGAGGCTGAAAAGTAATGATCAAAGAATAAGGCTGGTTGTTGATGGAGCCGACCTCGATAACAGCAACTCTTACCTTCAGTAGGGAGGGGCGAAACGACCATCAGTAATGGATTGGGAATTGTTGGATGCGTCGTATTCAGTAACCTCTATTCCTCAAAGATACCACTCTTCTTGCTCATCGTTCAAGCATTCGACCACCCGCTATGCTAATCAATTGATCGGACAACCCTCTCACCTCCTTCCACCACCAATGTCCTGGCCCAACCTATAACCACTGATCTTCTCCCACTCAATCTTCTGCCTCGTAATCGGCAATTGTCTCCTCAGAGCCTTGAAAGCGCCCTCACTCAGACTGCCAAACGCCTTGTTGAGATCCTCCTGGTACTTCTTCTCCTCGGCAGCAATCTTCCTCATGATCTCGGTTCCATTTGCACTGCCGCCAGCACTCAGGTTGACCTCCTTGGTGGTGAGCAGACGCACGTTTCCGTCTTCGTAGTAGTGCACGTCGACTTTTATGCTACCGGAGATGGAGCCGGAGGAGGTGTCGTAGATGTAGGAGCTGCGCCAGCGGCCGTTCCAGTAGTTTGTGGGGGAGTACTTGTTTGCGACGGTGATGATGGCGAGGGAAGAGGGGGACGAAGGAACGGGGAAGACGCCGTGGGAGGATTTGGGGTAGTGTTCTGAGGCGTGGGTGCCGAGGGACTTGTTGAGGCTCTTCCTGTGGTGTGTGTTAGTACTAAGCTCGCGCAAACAATGTGCCGTATGGCCAGAGGGTGTCTGTGTGAGGTGAGACATACAGGAGATCCTCATGCGCGCTCTCGACAACGTAGCTCTGGACTGCGCTTGCCTTGCCAGTCGCATGGTCAAAGTCGAAGGAGCTCTGTGTATCGATGTCGTAGTATCTGCCGTCTCCTAACGAGTTGTATTCGCTGACTAGAACTTCGGTGCTGCCGCCCGGAAGCTTCGTTGTGGTGTACTGCTCCTCGTTGTACTTTTGGAAGGCAGGCGAGAGTTCGTTCTGGACTGATTCATCGCCGAGGATTGACTTGATTGCCTTGGTAACTTCGACAAGCTGGGTTGCTGTCAGTACATGTGCTGGCGAAAGCTACACGTGGATTTAGAGAGCATACTTCACCAGGCGGCGCGCTGTCGACGAAAGAGGAGAGAGCTGCTGTGCGTGACATGGCTGCGATATCTCGCTATGCGGAAGTTGGAGATCAGGTTCGTGTTGCGACCTCAATTGTTTGGCGCGTTGTCGAAGCTGCGGGTGGACAGGAGCGCTTAGTGGGGTTCGGGAAGTGCAGGGACCACAAATGTGGAGGGGAGAGCATCAGAACATCATAGTGTACTTGGAGCTATCCGCCTTTTTTTACTTCATGTTGAAACTAAATATTAACGATGGGTATCTATACACCTTGAGCGACCCTTTTTGATCTCGTAGACCCGGAAACGCCGCGCTAAGTCATGATCAATGCCACAAATATTCTACACAAAGTCACGTCTGGCAATCACTCGATGCTCATCTTCATCAGCCCATCATTGGTATCGGTCATGCCCTGTAGACCTATCCGCTTTGGGCCCAATGTTGGCGTCATGCTCATGCTGCCTCCACTGTTTGAGCGTTCACCATGTGATTGACCACTTATTGACGTTTCCCGGCTGGCCTTGGTATTTGTGCCCCAAAGACTGTTGTCCCTTTGTGCAGGAGACTGCGAGATGACTGGGCTGCCATGAGCGCTGACACCTGGTGAGACTGCACGACGTTTGATTGAAGCTTCGTCGAAATCGTCATCTCGCCGGCGTTTGTTCGACTTCTTCAAAGCTTCGGCTGCTGTGGGAGGCTGCATTGCCCCTGGCGTAGACGCTCTAGATGCCCCACCGCCTATAGTTGGGGAGTCCATGTTCATGTCCTCGCTCATTGCGGATGATTCTGCACGAGGAAAGGACGGTGGAGGAGTGTGTGCAGCGCGTGAACCCCAGAAGCCGTTGCTGACCGAATTGCGACCACTGTGTAGACTACCAAAGGCACCGAAAAGTCCCTTAGACGTCGATCCATCTAGACTCATGTTGCTTTCGCTGCCCTCCTCTGGCACACCCTCAAGGGGTCCATCCAGGCCTGGAACTGTTGGCAGCAAGTTGGGTGATGATTGCGCGGTTCCCGAAGGTCGCTCTAGATCCGTGTCGCTTTCTCTCACTTGTCGAATGATCTCGGCTTCGCGGCGAAATTCGCTGTCAACGGGAGCAGCTTCTTCGAACAACTCCGCTCTGATGCGGCCGAACTGTCTTGACTTTGGCTAGTAAAGTTAGCAACTTGTACCGTTGTACTGATTCATGTACTCACCAGCAGATTACCCCTCCGTGAAACCACCCGTCGTACTACACCCGGAGTTTGGGGCATGTTACCGCCCTCGTCACCGCTATCGTTTCCAGATGAGATGTGGAGGTCGTTGGCAAAAAGGGAAAGGCTCTCTCGTCGCGAACCCGCTTTACGCATGGCCGCTTCTCGCGCAAAATATCCCGTATCTTTGCCATTTGGCGGTGAGGCCGGCCCGGGGCTTGCCATGGAGCTGTGTCCACTGGCTGAGCTCGAGCTCTTTCGGCTTCTACCCTTGCGCAATCTCGCTCGATGCATGCTCGCAAAGTTGGGCTGTCCACCGGGTGAAAACAGATTCGAAAAGACACCGTTGTTGCCAGCGTTGAGCCCTGGAAATAGTGTGTTGGTCTTCGCTTGTGGAGTCATGATCATAGGGTCGTCGTTGTCCTCAGGGTCCAGTGGATCCACCTCATCCGAAGAACTACTCGAGTCCTCTGAGCCCATCATGTTGATGCTGCCGACCGAACTCGAAGGGGCGGTTCTATCGCCGTGACTCCATCCACCCTGTAGGCTCACATTGGGCGAGTCAAGCAGCATTGAGTTGGAGCGAGGCTTCCGCGGCGGTATCTTGATGCCTTTTTGCGTAATGGTCGGCGAAGAATCGGGCGAAGACTGGTCGGGCAGCGTCGAGTGGTGGAGGTTGGTGCAGGCTCTTGAGAACTCAGCGCCGCGGGACCGTCGGGGCAGGACAGAAGCAGGCGACGCGTAGGTGTTACGCGAATCTAGCTGTGGAGAGAGGGGCACACGGGCGGCGAAGTGCGCGGGACTGAGCATAGGCGACTCTCGAGGGGGCATTTGCAGAGACAGGCCTCGCGAGAGGAAGTCTGGCCTACGCGGTGTACTGGGGCTGGCGACGATAGTTTGGTCATCTTTGGACATGCGTGCGGGTTCGCGGAACTTCGGAGAGGGCTCAAGACGGGGCGTGCTGTCCGAGAGAGACCGTGCTTTGGGCGAATTCGTCTTTGGCGGCGTTGTCTCCAGTTGAGGTTGAGGCTCCATCATGGCTGCACCGCGAGAGTCGGTGGTTTCGCGTTCGCTACCGATGGCTGGCGTCATGGCCGCCGTCAACATTGCGTCGTAGGGTGAATCTGGCAGGACGACCCTTATAATTCATTCTCTCAGCAACGTGCTGTGAGCAGAAGTCAAATTGGTGGAACAGCAATGGCCCGTACGTTGGCGGGGCGGTTAATCATGGCCTATCATCACGTGGAAAGAAGCCCCTACCAAGGGTGAACCATGCTCTGAGCCTGTCAAAACGAAACAGCGTCTTTAAACGCATATAACTCAGAACACGTTCCTGGACTATCTTCTTACATGCAGTGAATACATTGCTCCGTTGCATATCGAGCTCTCTCTCACGGCTGCCGCTATGGTGTCGATTATGACGCTTAGATCACCCATAGATCATCCCTGTTTTGAGCACCCCTGAGTACTTCCCACGATGCTGCTACAAGGTCACAATGGCCTCTACCCACTCAGTATCTTCCCAGGTAGCTTCCCAAATGTTAAGCACGGTCATGGTCCACACTTTTCCCTCTCGCTTCATGGTGCCAATGCACCGACATATCCGCCCTTGTTGTAAAAGCCTACTGCAGTCGTACTCGAACAGGGGCACCGACTTCCAGATCGCAGCGCTGTATGCTCCTTTGATATAAGGCGGCCTTGCATGGAAGAGGTCGCAGAATGTGAATTGTTGCTCTGTGCCAGTTCGCTCCGAAGCAAGGATTCTAGCGTACATTTCGATCATAATGCGCTTCCCAGACTTGGATGCTTGACAACTCTGATTGATCACCTCACCGATGCGAAAACACGTTCTGAGCAACGAGTTTGACGAGAGACCGATAATAGGCGAGCGATCGCGAACAGATTCAGGGAACGGCGGCCTGACGATTGGTTTCCTAATCTCCGCGGAACCTGAGCTGCCATATGCGGCCTGCAAGCGCGTTGTCGGAGTGACTGGAGATGTAAACTGTTTTGACAATTGCTGTGAACTCGTCTTGGTGGTGACTTCTTCAAGCATGATAGGAATGTCGGTGCATGAGCCTGGAGTGGGGCATAATCTGTCGTTGTCCGTGTTGTAGGACTGCGCGTGGGACTTCGAAGTAGGCTTTGCAAGGTCAGAACATGTACCACCATCTTCAGGTATCAATGCGAGCAGTTCATCATCATTGATGTCAAAGTCGAAGTCATCTTCCGCGGATTTCAGAGTTTCATGTTGCTGGAGAGCCAGGTCGAGATCAACGTGTCCAGCTTCAGTAGCATCACAATCATCGTCTTCGAGAATGAACAAGCCAACGTCAACCGAATATTGCACAGGCCGTATGGCCACGGTGTCTTGGCTGACATTCTGAACAGTCTCAGAGCTTGCGAAACGATGATGCATCACCTCATAGGCTTGAGTGGTAGGAACATGATCTGACAAAGTTGTTCCTTCATCATCTGCTGCTGGCTTCTGTGGTCGCACATCGTCAATGAATGCTGATTGTGTAGTCCTAGATGGTGGAGCTTTGGATGCGGATGCCGCAGACTTGCGTACAGGTTTCGTCACCCGGAAGCTCTCCGACACACGCCGTTGATTGACAGTTGCCCTCGCTTCCGCATTCGTGTGTCTATCATCCAATGTGTTTCCATGGGCAGCCAACGCAGCCAACTTTATTCGGTTGCGTGTAGGTTTCAGCGGTGGGCTGGCTGGCGTTGCCGGTAAAGAAGCATATATCTCGAGATGTGTAGGCTCGCTTGCAGTACCAAGTCCGAGATACTGGGCAACAGCAGGGTTATGTCGCCGCCGCCCATGAACGGTCGCTCTTCGCCGCGCTTGGTTTTGCTGGATGGGTGCCGCTATTGGTGATTGGGGCGTCGGGAACTGCGTCGAGGGCTGATTGATGGCTGTGAAACTAGAGGTTGAAGAAGAAGAAACTTGAGTATATCTGCATACCTCAGGTTAGTTAAGACGATACGAGACAAAAGCAATGTGTGATGGGAAAAGGTGAGTGAACGCGCTTCGGGCCTCTCACGCGCCATCGCCATTTCCTGCACCCGTCGCCTCCGCACTCCAACCGTGATGCAGCGCGTTTGCCCTGTTCATTGTGGTTCTAGCGCAGCGATACGATATGCGAGGGGTGTGCAAGAGGTAAAGTGAAGAAACCTGATGGGGGAGGTCGCGCGACGTGTGGTTGCACCCCGCAAGTGGGGGCTGAGTAAGGTAGCTTCAGCCCGATCAAGGAAGCTCATTCACCTATCGCGTGCACATAGGCAGCCACTACTACATAGACTTTCGCTTCAAACCTCTTCCATCGCCGCTCACCTCACCCTGTGGACTTTGCACGACTCGTCAACTCATGTTCGTGGAAGCCCGGATCGTCTATTCTTATCTGTAACACCGGATCTCTACCTTCAGACGGACCCTCCGACGGCTTTCAGACCTTATTGAAAACACCAGACCCTGATTGTGTCCAAATTCGTTCTGACAAGCAAGCAAACATCCTGTTCGGGAGTGCATTGCTTTTTTCGCCTCCAGATTTAGCAGGTGCTTACCCTGAAGGGTCAAATCAAGCGACCAACTTACGATGCCTGTAAGTTGTTCTTCAGATTGGTTTCTCTTTAAGAGTTCCTAGACACCATGCTTTCAGTTACATCATCTCACTACAACTTGTCCTTTGTATACCTCTTCTCATTACAATCATGATTTCCCACGCCTCTTGGTATGACGGTGAACCGCTCCTCAACAGAGAGTCGCTTCGTAGGAGATCTTCCTGTAGCAGTGCCTGTTCCGATCTCGAAGCACTTCCCTTGTATCACAGAGCTCCGTCTGTGTCACTTTCTTCGTCAATTTCGTCATCAACAGAGTCCTCTCGCAAATCGCTTCATCGCCACAAGGATCCCAAAGCATATGCAGAGCTTCCAATCTTCGAGAACCCTTGCCCGCTGTGTTTCTTTGGACACTGTCACAAGGCGCTAAGACAATGGATACATCGCAGAAACACGCTTTCTCGGCTGTCACGGTCCAAATAGATCGATTGACGAGCGAGCAATACGAGGAGAATGTAAGTTGGCCTGCGCAGATTCCATATTAAGGCTAATCGTTGCAGGATGTCGGTGGTATTGTTGATCTCATTGAAGTCATTCGCATCCAGGCATCTGGTCCTACGGAAGCAGCACGAGCTTTGCGAAAGAAGCTGTAAGTCAAATCCTTACGTGCATACGACATGCTCTAAACACTTCATCAGCAAGTACGGCAACGTACATCGCCAGATCCGCGCCCTAGTCATCCTAGACGCTTTAATCCAGAATGCTGGTACCAGGTTCCAGAAGGCTTTTGCAGACGAGCCCCTTCTCGAGCGACTTCGTATTCTAGCCAGGGACGACACGGTTGATGCGGATGTTAGGCAGAAGGCCAACGTTCTATTTCGAGGATGGGCTGTTGCATACAAGGGAACGCCTGGACTTGAGCGAATAGCAGCACTACACAAAGAACTCCCTCGTACCAAGCGTCCCCAACCACAGCAATCTCGAATTGTGCGACAGCAAGACGCCGAGGCCGCACGTGAGCGCGAGGATAACTCGCCCTCTCCTCCTCGAAACAGGCGGCCGGAGCCACAACAGGCGTCATCGTCAAGAACCAGTACACCTATTGTACTCGGCGCTGGTACTCCTCTCCCAACCACCTCACTGTTCAGTAGAAACAAGAAAGACAAGAAGAAGACCAAAGGCCAGCCATTCAATCTGGAGAGGGAGAAAGGACAAATGCTCGAAACGATGGCATCGGCAAACGTCGCTAGCACAAACTTGCTCAATGGATTGCAGCTCATCAACCGTGAGCAAGAGCGGGTTAGCGACAATCCAGAAGTGATGCGACGTTTCGAGACCTGCAAGCAGCTTCGTCGCCAAATCTTGCGTTATATCCATTTGGTTGAGTCAGAGCAATACATTGGCGGTCTTCTTAATGCCAACGACGAGCTAGTCAAGGGTCTCATGGCATTCGAAATCATGGACAAGAGCATCGATGACGACAGTGACAGCGACAATGAGGGCAACGTATCTGCTGCTATGGCCAGCATGAACATGAACGAGTCGGCTCCTCCAAAGCCACCCCGGCCAACGAGCATCCCTATGCCTCCTCAGCGTGTCGAGCCAGACAGTGAGCCAGAGGAGGATGAGGATGACCCGTTCGGAGACAGCAACGGTAAGACTGTTGCGTATATTTCTCGGAAAGCTAGCTAACTCACCACAGCTGTCAAAACGCCATTCGCTGAGAAGAGCCAGCCGACTTGGAGAGACGTCTGAGATATCAAGCGCCAGACGCGAACAAGACCTGCATGTTCACGGTGAGACACGGTATTGGGCTTTCCTCATCTCATGTTCAGCAATACCCTTTTCGTATAGTTTTACCATCTAGATATATGATAGATTCAATGCACGTTTACATAAATACCTCCCCTGTGTTTCTTTTATTTTACATGTGTCGAGAGCCTATGACCGAACGCGCGGCGTTAGCCACCTTCACTGCCACAAGGGGCGACGTCATGTTTCTTTAGCGTGGGCGTGTCATTGGCCTAGCGCCATGCGCAGCGCAGCATTGAAGCAGGGTTGGATTGCCCTCTGCGACCGTATTAATCTCCCCTTTGCCTCCTCAAACACAACCGTTCAGCATCTCGCGCAGACCTAGCTTTCTCTTTCTCTTCATCACTCAAACTGTATGCTTACACTCGACTCTGTGGCCACGGACACACTACTGACATCATCACAGCGCAACTTCGTCATCTCGCGACCCAACAAGTACAACTCGACCGTCTACAACCCACTCGTCAGACCTCTAAAACCCACACGATCCGCGCAAACTCACACACCAAAATGCCTGCCTCCACAAACTCCGTCTCCTCGGCCGCTGGCTCTATCGTCAAGCCTCAGGGTGGCAAGTGCAGCTGCATCAGCACAGACGACTGCAGCTGCTGCTGCATTCCTTGCACTGTCATGTAAACGCGACAGTAAAAACATCACATACGGCGGCATATGAGTCCCATCGATGACAGCGCATGCGTGTGCGAAAGCGGAGACATGCCACACGCGGCCTACAACGCAAACGATAAGGGAACAGCGATTGGGATAAGGTGTTCTGGGATATTTTGAGCGAGCATACCACAGCAGGAGGATCTTTCTGGAGTTTGGGAATAGAGCGATAGCTCGTAGGCTTGTTGATAACTGCTCATGATAATATGACGTTTAGATCTTTCATTCTGCGCCTCTTTCTTCCGCCAAACGTTCTGCACATCGCGTGTGAGCATGCAAAGCTCTTGCTGTCCGCGGTCTACAACATCTTGCACTTTTATCGCGCGGCTGTTGGACGGTGTCGCGCCGTTTCAGCATCTTGTGCCTGTGGCGAATGGCTTGCCTCAGGCTTTCGCTACGCCTGAACCTGGGCGCTTAGAGATAATAGACTGCGTGCGGCGCAGCAACACGATATTGATGCCTACTAGAAGTTGCTAACATGTAGTATCTCGTTCCTGGCTTGTTACATGTTCCCAGGTTCCGTCACAATTACTCTCGGTTACCCTTTCCTACGTAGCGTTGATGTACCACCACACTTCGTTTCGATCGCTCCCCAACGTCCTCAGCCATACAACGCTCGATCCAACGTGTGGCTTCGAAGGCAACAACGATATCTACGGTATCGGAATCCGTATCGGCATCTACGCACAGATCCTCGCCGTGTGGTTCGCGAACTACTTTCTCTTATCTGAAGTCCAAGTACTGCGCGATTCCGTCAGCATCTTTAGCGTCGCAATCCTTATTGTCGCGTTGATCTTTGCCTCGAACCCATCCGATGTCTATGCTGTCGAGGCATTCGTATTGCTACAGATACTGGCATGGAGTTGTATGATGGGCGTGCGAGCCAAGTCCTCGTACAGCAAGGCTACCTTCTCTCGCGGCAGCTTTTTGAGACGGGTTGTGTGCGAGGTCGTCAACCTTATGAACATCTGTCTGCATGTGTGGTTTTGGTGGGCAGGGGTGGATTACATGAAGACAACGCCATGCGGCACATGGTTGATGATGTATGTTGTCAAAACAAGTCTTTTTGGCTGGGCGAGGAAGGTTATGATGGCTATGAGTCTCTTCGTGTTACTCTGCACGATCTATTAGGTGGTAGTGGAGTTCCTGAGGCCGTGGACTACTTGGAAGGTAAGGGAGAAGAGGAGAAAGTTCGCGGACGCAATTAGGATGTGGAAAGAGTCTCAGCGACGAAGCGCAGATGAAGAGACGATAGAAGAGAAGGGTGTGACTGAAGGCGAAGGTAGTCCAGTTCATGATGCTTCAGTGGAAACACGACTGCATCATAAGAGCCCCCGAGCTTTATGTACTCGTTGCTTACCGGCAGGATCAAGCTTCGGGCATGTTCGTCCACTCAGCCTAGTTCGCACGCGCTCAGATCCCCTGGCGCGACGAACATCAGAGTGGGAATACTCTCCTCGTATCGCTTCCCAGGAAACCTCCAAACGGTCCTCCCGTGTTACTGTTCAAGAGATCCTATCTCCGGCATCCCCAACCTCAGCATCATCCTCTTATGCCAGTTCCAACTCCCCAGAAGACAGTCCATATCTCTCTACCATCCGCGAAGTCTACGAGAGTGAGCTATATATTCAACACTGTATCACAGCAAGTCCATACCAGATGAGCACCGACGGCAAACCCCTCACCTTCCCAGTGATCGCACGATCGATCCTCTTCCCCAGAAGGTACCGCACCCCAGCAGGCGCAAAGCCGTCTCCACCGTCGTGGTTTCACTGCCAGTTACACAGCTACATAGCGTTTCCGACATGTCGCTTCCGGCCACAAGCTTTCGTCATCTACTCACACCTTCGTCAATCCCGCCTCCTCGACCCACTCAATGGACCTTTCCAAACATACGCTGCTCTTACCTATTCAGCAGCATCACCTAACCCGAAACACTTACCTTCATGGACTTCGGTATCGCTGGCTTCTTCTCTTCTCCTCACCAGCCCTTCAACACCAAAGAAGATCTGGCTTGGTTGGTACTACGCCATCCTCGATCTTCTGATACACGTCATCGTCATTCTGCAACTTGAATTAACTTTACGTTGGAATCATGTAAGCGGGCTCAGCGGACTATGGAACAGTGTCGGACAGTTAATCCTCTTTGTCATTGGAGTTGGTGGATTGGGGTTGGTCATTAGCAGGTGGGTAGTAAAGATGTGGGTTAAGCGGGTGGTCGCAAGAGGGGAGAAGAGCGGGTGGGAAGTACATGTGGAGGAAAATGAAAGTGATGATGAGGACCAAGATGAATACGAGAGAACCGGTGTCAGTCGAGGCTATGAGAGGTGGAAGAAGGCGTATCTCGCGCAGCATGCAAACCGAAATGGGTGATTGGTGATAAGGACGCCATAGGATACCGCTCCTTCGCCCTCATTGCACTTTCAACTTAGACTGCATGGCGGAGTTACATCTTTCTCGTTTCGAGTGGCTGACAAGGGTGGCCCCCAATGTCTCTTACGGCACAGTAAGGCAGATTTCAGGTTCTGTCACACCGCCTGTGATCTGTATGAGTGAGGCACAGCAGCGACCCAGTGTATTAAACACTTGTGGGTCCTCTTTCTTCGCTTCTTCTCCATACAGACTAACCAGGAAGTGTCTTTCACATCTATCGCAATGGCTGGACTCGTCAGCTGCAAGAATGAACTTCACACAATGCTACCAAAGCAACCATCTCCACCAAGATCTCCAAGCTTGGATTCATTTCCGTCTGCACTACCTTCACGCGCCGGTACTCCTTCCACAACATCTACTGAAGCAGAGTACAGGCCTCGGTATACTCCGCATCGTCACGACGAACCGATCAACTTCTTCAAAATCGACAACAGACCCGTCGCCATCGCCATGACTGTCCTCTTCGTCTTAGAAATCTTCAGCATCATATACTGGGAAATGTACGACCTATCTTCTATTCTCTTCCTCCCACCCGTGGCGAGCATATGTGCTGTTCAGTGGGAGAAATACAGGCGCCGTAGGCACAATAGAGCGATCAGAGATGATGAGGCGGACATTGGGTTAATGTACGAAGATGAGGAGCTTGAGGATGGGATAAATTTGTACGGTGTAGAGCTAAGGGTAGATGAAAGCCTGTCATTAAGGAAGCAACAGGAAATGTGTTGAGACTGGGGGTTGGGAGGCCTCTTGTGGCGCGGTGCATGCATAGTAGGACTTTGAAACATTGATCACACGAGGTAGCGTCGTCTTACTCTATCATTCCAATTGCATGACATCAACTTTTTTGTACGATTTGTACATCTTTCCCCAGTAGAGCTGGAAAAGATGAGGATCAAGGAAAGTCAGCGATCCCGTACCGCACTGCACCACATCCACTCAGCGCACTAGCGGCTTATCTTGTCACAAAGTCAGCATCGTTTCGACAGCCGCTATTTCCATCACAGCCGAACGCTCTTGTTCTAGGTCTTTGTATGTTGAGTCTTTTGCATTTACCTAGGCTCGTTCATCAAATTCATCCCCTACCTAACTCAGCAAATCACCCTTCTTTCAATGCTATACGTGTTGTGAAGAGTATATCACCGCAGGAAGAGCGATCTATGCGGCACAGCAAGGCGGTCTTACCAACAGATACCTTGCCTTTTGCTGTGCTGTAAAGCACAAGGACATAGCCAACCTGCTCACATATAAACCGACACAAGCCCATTTACCGAACTTAACTCCGCCTGACTTCACCTTTTTATTTTTCAAAATTACTGAATAGCCGGTGTCCTCAACTTTCCAAGATGTCTTCTCCGTCAGAGAAAGCATCACAGCAACACGTAACCTCCGCCGAGAAGCAGCCAGGTCTTCATCAACTACAATCAAGTGGTGCATGCACTAGCTGGACTCTCCAAGAACGAGTGGCACACTCACCCTACCGCCCCGCAGCTCTCGGGGTGGCCGAGTTCCTCTTCAGGTTTACATACATATATATCATCTCGTTCGTCATGTTGAACGAGAACGAACGAAACATGTACACTGTCTTCGTAGTTGCGCTCATGACACAGGTGCAGGGAAAATTGTGGAGAAAGTTCAGAAGCTGGCGGACGAGGATAACATCCAGGGATGAGGAAACTATGATTGGATCTGTGGGTGGAGATGAGATGTCAGACGGCGGGGTGGGCTTGAACTCCGTACGGCTCGGAGAAGATGGAGATTCTAGGGCTGAAAAGTAGAAGGGTGTGTATTGAGGACTACCGAGTGCGGGACTTTCGAGGCTTATCTCATACGCCCCACCAAATTTATACTGCAGTAATGATTGAGGAAATTCTGATTGGGCTACAATTGAAAGGACAGCCTCGCCGTGATTACCATACATCGATCGAGAATGTCTCAATCACCCTTCTTCCCCACCTCTTCGTCATCCACCCGTTTCTTCTTCATCAGTTTCCCCAGCAAAGGTATTCGGTGCACCACTTGCCCCAAATTTGCAGCCAATCGTTTGAGCACACTGAATTTTCTCCACACTACGAGCACTAAGAGCGTCAGCCCTATTGTGACCACAAAGTACAAATACACCCAGTAAGTTACTTTCGTGCCTTTGTTATCAGGAGAGAAGTCCCAGAATGTTGTACTGAAGAAGGTTGCGACGAAAGTTCTGGGAAGAAAGATGAGAGTGATAGCGGTAATCAGTCGCATGTCGGCACCGTAGCGATGGTTGAGCTGGTTGTCTCTTTGCTGAAGAGTCGCATATATCTATTACTGTTAGATATAGCCAGTATTGGGTTTCTTGGTCCAGGAACATACAGTTTGTGTCATTGACTGAACGTTATACTGTGTTCGTTTGATCATACCCATCCAATTCAGAGTAAACTGCCGTAGCCATCTGGTTTGCTCCTGTAACTCAATACGAATAGGGACACCAGGTTCTTCGGGCCATACTAGGAGCTGCTCATTCAGAAAATCTAGGGCAGACGTCGTCTTGGAAAGGATGAACTCAATGTCGGCAATTCTGATCGAGAGCGCATTCAAAGACTGTATCGTCTTGGCAAGATTTGAGTCTCTCTCCACACGGTCGTCTGACTCTCGTGACCAATAGCCCAGCGCTGACTCCATGGTAAAACTCTCCACAATGATTGTGTTAGAATACGTCCTCATATCGTGTACCGCGATTCCAGCAATGACGACTGGTGCAAATAGTGGGCTGATTGCAAAATTAGGGAGGCGTTCGATACGTTGCATGAGACGTTGCGCATTTCCCTCAAATCTCAGTAGGCAGAGGCCAAATGTTCGATGAGTAGCGCTATCATAAGTGACTAACGACAGATTGGAGTTCATTTCGACGACGAGACCTACGTCCATCAGTTGTGAGCAGCGGATCTGACCCTTAGGTTCTATTTAGATGACGCTGTGCTATTCTGACTAAAGCAGGGTAGGAGTGAACGTACCTTTCCAAGATTCATCGTCTATCATAGGGGAGAATGTCATACTATAACTTTCTATAGACACGGGGCTAGGAACGTGGTTGTACGGTACATTCCAGTGGGAGTGGAGTGCTTCGATAGCGTCCAAAGAATAAGGGATAAGAGCCGACGGTTCGTAGGGATTCATCTGGCATGTTACGAGTCTTTCACTAGATTAGTAGATCACATCGCTAAAGAGTAGCTTCTGTACGCACAAATTAAATGACCACTTTATCTCTGACTGTGATGATGCCGTGCGCTTACATAGCTCAGGAATACCTTCGTCATCGATAACCTGTCGTTGAACTATCACTCCTGTCTGCTAGCAATTAGGTCGAGTACATTGATACTAGCCACTATGACTTGCTCTGTCTTCATGTATCGATATTAGAGTATGTTTGTCTTGCGCTCTCAATTTCTGGGCGTCCCTCTTCCAATGATCATATCTCCATGGAATACGATTTGTCGTTGCCATGCCACCAAGCTTAGGAGGAAGTTTGTGAAAAGTCTGCCATCGATGAGTGAATACTGATAACTGCAAGTCATAAGCGGGTAATGAGCCTTATATATACGAAGCGATAGTGTACGAGGCTGAAGTTAAAGACTTAGATATTCTTAGGATCAACGCGACTGCAAGCCATGTACAGGTGACCAGTGAGTACTTGACGAATCAGGGAGCATGCCAGTACATCCTTGAGCGGGGAACATGCATGAGGCTGAAGAAAGCTAAGACAAATTGAGTCCCCTCCTAATCCGGGATACTTTACCACCGAAGTAGAGAGCTACCTGTTTGCCGCACACCGTAGAGATATACATGGAGTTATTGTTGGAGATACTTGGAACACTGGCTCTAGGCTGCGTTTTAAGCATCCTTCTTCGAAGACGAGACAGGAATGCTCAGCTAAACAAAAAGCCTTGTTAGCCGCTCCTGGTGAAAGAAGATGGCGCGTCACCCCGACACTAGAAGGAAAAGACCACAGACAAGACATTTTCACTAGAAAATAAAAGTGATTCTCGCGTTATTATATCCAAATAGACGTCTAACCACTTACAATCTCGATGTCAGGCTTTGCACGTTGATAAGAAAGAGTCACGGGCTTCCATCGCGTCGAGCGGCGCGTAGATGCACACGTCACCCTTTGTCAAGACGCCAGAACCCCGATTAGACTTCTTCTGGTCTTCGCGCTGAACTCGATGGAGCTCATTGTGGGAAACTGGCTGTCACAGGAGATGAACCTTCACAAACATACCTGTATTTTTAAGTGCAACCTTTCTTCAGGGAACCCTGAATCTGATGCGCGGCATGTGATAGTAGACATTCTCTTCATCAAAGCTCTATCTATGATAGTGAATAGTAGAATATATTGTCGCAATCAGGTGTGTATAACTCCTAGTTCGGAATATCTACAGACATTCTATGCGACCTTAATGATCATGGGATAGAGCGGGGATACCTCCTGTATTATCTCCCTCTTCAGTCCTCGTCTTCGGTAACAGGCCGATCATGTAAGCCCTGGAACCACTTGTCCAAATCTTCATAATGTTTTTCCAGCTTTCCTTCCATGTCCATGCTGAGCGAGGATGGCGAAACTCCAGTGTTCGGTGCATGAGAGTCTGCTGGTCGCTGAGGAAGTGATGCGTCCTGCGAGCGCTGGAAATCACCCTCCGCCTCTTTGACCAGTCGATTAATCTCGTCTGGGAGCAAGCCGTCGCGTTCGAGTATAGCCTTGATCTTCTCCGCCACAGTGATCTGGTTCTTGGTTATCCACTGTCGTTGTTTCAGCTCGGCAGCCACGCCCTCTAGAGGGTGTGTGAGGTTATTCTGGAATCCTTCATTACGATTCTTGCTGTTTCTTTTCTTGCTGTTTCCTTTCGTGCCCTTGACTTTCGGTGGCGCGGCAGTCTTGACCTTCTTGACAATTTGCTCGATCACATCGATGAGGCCTTCGTAGATACTCAAGTACACCTGGAAGCACCCTAGGCGCATCTCATTCGCTTGTTTGCGCAAGATGAGGACATCTCTCTCCCGAATTACCTTCAACTGGGCGAAGGCTTCGCTGCTCTTGTACAACGCTTTCTGGGAGTCGAATACTGTATCGAGCGAAGTCTGGGCCAGATCTTTGATCGCTTCGTTGCCTTCGAAACAGACCTTCATAGTTGCATTGCCGTTCTCGATCGTAGCGTCGTAGCCCAGGCGTATAGCGTTGATTGCTTTCTCGAAGTTCTGTTTCATGTTCTGCAGTCTCATCTCGGCGGCAAGTCCTAGAAGGAGCATGAAGAAGAGTGAAACAAGGAAGTGGTGGCCTATAAACAGCGATGCTGTGTAAACGACGAGTATCGTTACCAGGTCCTGGAGGAAGAGGGCACGAGTATGTTGGAGACTATCAGCAACTTCCCGCGACATTGAGTCGAGCTCGTCTGCAGCGTCAGCATGGCTGTTTTCAGGTACTGGGCCACGTTTCGCGTCCGGAGGCGCCATGTCCCTGTCGTTTTTGGGCTCCATGTCTGCTTTCTGGTGTGTTATGCGTTGGTTAGGCATGTATTCCGCTCTGAGGTTACAGGTGTTTTGTCGTGCAACTATTTGAGATCGGGTGCGGCTTCTTTAGGAAGAGCCGAATAAGGCAACAGATCTCATTACACGAGACGGGAGGTCTAATGGCAAAGGTTACGTCATTCGTTACTTTCACTGAGTTTCTCTCTACCTGTCAGACACACAAGTCATCATACACTTCTTAGCTTTTGGCATATGAGAACCCCAACTTTATCAGAACCACTTAGAGCACCCCTAGAGCCTATCGAACAAACGTGGCTGACAATAGAATGGTTAGAATAGCGAGGGTATTATAAGGATCTGTTGTTTGTACATTGGCTTCTTGAGATTGTCCTCGGCTCTTCCATAATATACTAGCAAAAAAGTCATGTAAGGCCCAAAGGTTTTGACACCGTGAAGAGATTGTAACTTCGTAGTATAAGGCGGTGATGTATATCTACATTGGTGGGCATCGTCCAAATAGAGCGAGAACTATTCAGCAACTTCGTCAAATCCAAGTCCATCTAGGTTACCCAAGAACTCCATGTTGCCCTCTCCGGCCACAAGCGCATCAACATCAATGCCGCCACTCGTCAGATATCTCGCACTGACACCGGTGTTGATCCTCTGACTTAGGAGATGCTTGAGTTCTGCCCGCAGCGATTGCATCTCTGCTTTTGTCATTTCGCTCGCTTCCTTTTCCTTCTTCTTCCGGCCGCTTCCACGACCTCTCTTGCCTGGTGCTTCTTTCTCGAACTCTTCACTGTCATAGTCGACACCAAGGTCTTCGGCAGCGCGTCGTAGTACGTCGTCCTCGCTATGCTTTTTCTCTTTTGCGATGACGGTGTCAGATAGCTTTTTCGAGATGGTAGCACGAGGCTTCAAGCGCGAGACGATGCGGCGGTCGATGTCCAGGGTACGGATGAAGAAGGCCGTCTTCTTGGATTTGGGAGCATCGCTGGCGCGTGCATGGACCTTAGCAATAAGCCTTCGTACACCCGCGACTTCCTCAGGAGCACATATTAAGATACTGGCACCTGAAGCATCTGCACGTGCGGTACGTCCTGATCGATGGACATATGTATCGGCGGCGCGAGGCAGATGGTAGTGTATGACCAAGTCAATCTGGGGTATGTCAAGACCTCTGGCAGCAACGTCTGTAGCAACCAAGATGGATCCAGGTCGCTCCTTGAACCGTTCGATCGATCGTAAACGAGCTTTCTGGGGCATGTTCGAATGTAGTGGTAAAGCTGGCAGAGCCAGGTTTGTCAGGAACGGTGTTATGCGACGGACCGCAGAGATTGAGTTGGTGAAGACTAGAGCGCGCTTCTTTGTGTAGAACATTAGTAGAGAATAGAGATAAAGATCCTTCTCAGTTCCGGCACATTCGATGAGTCCCTCCTGCAGCTTGCTGGCCATCTGCGAAGTCGGGTTCGCGTCAATGAACATCGGCTTCTCTTCGCGGAACCGGAGTTTCTTGAGCAGATATTCCATAGACTGTTGTTGGCTCATGAGATCTCCGCTATATTTAGTCTTGCCAGCGAGCTTTCGTTGCAAGTCCTTTCCGAAAGTCGCTGAAAACACAAGAGTTTGGCGTTGGGTTTCTGGCGCTGGTTCCTCGTCACCATTCTCATTGGGCTCGTCGTCAGGCTCCAAGACTTTGAGAATCTCTCCCATTTCTTTGAAATGCCCTTCGCTCAACAGACGATCAGCCTCATCAACAACCAGGAACTTGATCTGCTTGAACTTAGGCAACAGGCCTTGGCCACCGCTAATGACCTCCCACAGTCGTCCTGGCGTACCAACAACGATGTCTGCCTTTTCCAATTGCCTGCGCTGCTTCTGGACGGACAGACCACCCGTGATTGACGCAATGTACGGGGGGTCGAAGTCACCCTTCGCGCAGAGAGCGATTAAGTGAGCGTTGATCTGATGCGCAAGTTCTCGTGTTGGCGCAATGATCAGTGCGATGGGTGCTTTGTCCTCGGGATCTTTGGCCGTCGATCGAGCAGCAAGCCACGACTCTATAACTGGGATACCAAAAGCGAGTGTTTTACCCGAACCTGTCGAGGCCTTGCCAATAACATCTCTTCCTGCCATGATCTCGGGTATTGTGGACGCTTGGATACCAGTGGGTTTCGAGAACTTTAGCTTTGCTAATGCGCCTAGCATCTCTTCGGAAAGATCCAATTCGTTCCATGCGCGCACATCTGTCTCGTCATCGTCGTCGTCGGGTTGGTTCGCCAGAATATCGAATGCGCCAGGTCCGAAGGTTTCGCCGTCTTCGCGGTCTTCGACTTCGTCCTCTTCGACCTCATCCTCTTCATCCTCTTCCTCCTCGCCATCATCTGGGGTGGGTAGTTCTGCCTTGGCCTTTTCCTCTTCTTGTTTCTTGAGCTTTGCTTCCTTGGCCCTCTTCTTTTTCTCGGTCTTTGTAAGTTTCTTCATTTCTGGCTCGCCATTGGTGGTAGCTGCATCTGCTACATCCGTAACATCTGCATCTGCCGCTTGCGCGGGTGCCGCTGTTTGCGCATCCTCTTCATCGCTGAAGCCCTCCCATGCGACCTCTTCGTTCTCCTCCTGCGCTGTTTCTTGTGCAGCGTCTGCTTGTGTAGTGTCTTCTTTTCCATCCGCCTCGCCATCCCCAAAAGTTATCGCCTCCAAGCGTTTTGCCTCGTCTTCTTCCCGCTGCCATGCTTCCTCGACGTCTTGTGCCACCTCTTCTTCTGTTTTGGTAGTCTCGAAGGTAAGATTTCCAGTAACTGGGTCTTTGACGATCTCAACATCGTCAATCTCTTCGAGCCCATAGAAGCCTTCGACATCGTCCAACCGGTCGGGCATCGACACGGGCTTCCATCCTAGCTCGTTGAGTTGCACCCGGCGCTTGGCTTTCGTCGACGAAGGGAAAGGTTTAGGAAAGGGCGCTGCTTTTGTACGCTCGACTTTTTGGCGTTTGTGCGCCTTTTGCGACGGCTTCTGCGGGGCGGTATTAGGACGCTTCATCGTGGATGTCGAACGATTGAGTTTCGTCGTGAAATGGATGCGCGCGCGAACTTTTTGGAAAACTTTCGGCGTTCGGGGCCTCGGGGGTGCCCCACATCACTCTAGCCTGAGCAGCACTTTCCCACACTTCACGTGCATGACTCGCACTCGTTAATCGGCGTTTTTCTGATCTGCATTGTCTTCCTGAATCAGCACGAAGTAGAAAGAGTAGGACAAAATTAGGTGGACAGATTGGTCAAGAGTGGTTGCGAATCCCCCACGGAAGTCAACTTGGTCACATCGCGGGGAGTAGAGAACCAAAATCACAGTGGAAAACAGAAAGAGTCAGGGATAGCGGTATTAGAAAAACATGGGAAAATCATCCAAGGATAAGAGGGATGCCTACTACCGTCTGGCAAAAGAAGAAGGATGGCGAGCCAGATCAGCCTACAAACTTCTCCAACTAGATGAAGAATTCAACCTGTTCGAAGGAGTCACACGAGTTGTCGATCTATGCGCCGCACCAGGAAGTTGGAGTCAAGTACTCTCACGCGTACTCATCAAAGGGGAGAAGTTTGGACGAGCAGGTTGGCAAGATAAGCAAGCTGCCGCAAGAAGTTACGTACTGGGTCTTGACAAGAAAGAGTCAGCTACGCAGGCAACCCCTCCATCAGAAGTAAAAGTGGAGGACAAACCAAAACCTAGAGAAGGTGTACGCATCGTAGCCATCGATCTCCAGCCTATGAGCCCTCTCGAAGGTGTAACAACAATGCGCGCAGACATTACTCACCCCTCCACCATTCCTCTGATGCTCAAGGCCCTTGATCCAGACACGTACGACCCCGCTGCACCTCAAGGCTCATCGCCTGTTGACCTTGTCATCTCGGACGGCGCGCCCGATGTCACCGGCCTGCACGATCTTGACATTTACGTACAAAGCCAGCTCTTATGGGCGGCGCTCAACCTCGCTCTCTGCGTGCTGAAACCTGGGGGCAAGTTCGTAGCCAAGATCTTTCGAGGCAAAGATGTCGATCTGCTGTTCGCACAGTTGAAGATCGTGTTTGAAAGGGTGCGTGTAGCGAAACCTAGGAGTAGTCGTGCAAGTAGTATCGAGGCGTTTGTTGTATGCGAGGGCTTTTGTCCGCCAGAAGGTTTCACTGCTAGTTTGGACAAGCCGCTCGGCGCGGGGACGCAATTGCCTACCCCAGCACTTTCGGACACACAAAAACAGGAGAAGAAGGTCACTCGGCGTGTTCGAGAGGACGGGGCTATTGAGATTGATCTGGGTTCTGAGACTGAAGATGAACACGACATCGAGGAAGGCGGGCAGCGATGGATAGCACCGTTCCTGGCTTGTGGTGATCTATCGGCGTATGATTCGGATGCAACGTATCATCTACCCAAGGACAGCGTCAGTCTGGATCCCGTGCAACCACCTACTGCACCACCGTACAAGAGGGCGCTGGAGATGCGGAAACTGGCTGGTGGTGCATATGGAAAGACAAAAGGGAGGGCAGAGAAGGAAGCGAAGTAGACGCCCAATACAGATACCCTTACGCAATCATTGGTGTTCGAAAGTTTCTGTGGAATTTGCAAATTGCATAGATGTTGACCTAAAGAACGTTTTCACAATTTGCGAAAGCCAGTCGCGCCACATGCGTTCACTGTGCATACCTTCCCAAAGCGATCATGGTCTCATGTTTAGACCTCCCTGACATGGCACCGCCCTATGCTGCGCCATATTAAGGTCTTTGTTGATCTATTTTATTCTCCGAAGTTACAAAGAAGCTGATTGGTGCCTCGTTCATACGTCAAAGGCGTTTGTCATGAATGTCTCTTAAGCTCAATATACACTTAATGGTCCCTGACAGATGATCGATGCATTGCCGAATTCTCAATCCACTTGCTTTCCAAAACTTGTTCAGAGAGCATGTCGATTCTATTGAGAACCTTTTTGAGTCGGTTGGAGTAAATCTGAGGAGACATGTTGATTGATTCAAGGTCGGGGAAAGGCTGCAACTATCGACGAACAGTATTTCCAAGAGTAAGGACGTCAAGGTTATCTGAGATAGGACAGTAATCCAAACAAACTCTCGAGATCGTTTCTAGACTTTTCCTAACAGCAAGGTTTTGCGAAAGCTGTTGTTACTATCAGTCCACGATACTTGTGCAATCACGAATAAAATCGCACTAATCACCACCCTCCTATCTGCCATCGTCATTTCACCTACCCTAGGCACCGCCATATCCAGTATATCCGCACTGACTAACGCAACCTCACTCTCTCCCCGCGGCCCAAAAAGATGCCCGATGACCCACTACCCTACGGAATCTCAATGCCATTCACAACATTACCCAGATCGCTAACATCCGCCCATCACTATTAGCCAAGGGCCATCGTTAGCACTTCAATTTCGCGTGTTTCATCGCGTTATTCGGGCTTAGACTGACATGTGAAGGGCTGTGCACATTGCTTCTTTGTTGTCTTTGTGACCATGCCTTATGAAGTCTGCCCTCTCTGTCGGCCAAGTCAGCATTTGCGAGAAGTATAACAGTACATGTCGGGTTTGGCTTCATGATGTCTATGACACGCACTCGTATCTGCGTCCTTCACTGTGCTTCGCATTGTACGTGGTGAGTGATGGGGTTGGTCGTACTTATCCAGGTACCCAGGAAGGTAATAATTGATAGAACAACATAGAATCGTCTTCTGCTCCTACTCACCTTCGCTTCCAGGAATACACCCACTCTCTTGGATCAGAATCAAAACAAGAGGATTTTAACTCATGTACCCCACTATGCTAAGCCTCGTATGGCTCATCACCTTCGCGACCATGGTTCTGACCACCCCTCTGGCTCCTCGCTACTCCACATACGGGGCAACGCTCCACGAACAGTCCAATAGCACGTCGATGCATCCTGTTCGTCGCCTCGATCCTGACGCATGCCCGGGGAATAAGAACCACTTCCCTAATTTCTCAGAGTGGGAACGAGGAATGAGCCAATTCTGCGACAATCACGGCGAGCAAAAGGTTTACTGGGACAAGCCACTTGTTATGACGCTCACCCTAAACGGTCACGACGGCAAGCCAATAGAATGGGTCTTCAGAATCGCAGTCGACAATGGTAATGCTCCTCCCGTTGGTGGATTTCCGACTACCGGCCAGCTTAAGTGGAGCTACTACCCCAGTGCCAAGCTTTGCAAGGAGAAGTTTATGGGGTTTACCAAGGATAAGGGTGGGGGAATGAGAAAGGTTTACTGTAAATGGGATAACGACAAAGGGGATATTCGTGATCACCTCATGCTGGGGGGCAGTTACAGCGAAAAGCTCAATCCGAAGTATTGGGCGACGGTGACGTGGGAAACTCGGCCAAAGAGGGGACAACCAGGAGTCGACCGAGGCTGGTGATGGATAGGGTGAAACAAGGTAGTTGAGATGGGGGTGTCAAAGTCGTATTTTCTTTTGCAAATAATCTTTCTTCACGTCAAATTCGAGCTCTGTCGTGTGTACAGACCGGTGGTCGTTGGAAGAAGCCAATCATGCACTCGCTACTGTCTGTTTTCCCTGGTTCTCAACATCCCACTACGGAAACTTGACGACACCAACAACTAAGGTGATTGGGATTATCGAGGTTGTAAGAGGTGTGGAGGCTAGCGCGCTTTACCCGTGGCGGGATTCAGAATAGCGCGGACCGGGATGCAGCTGCAGCAGGCACGGTCCTCGAAGCTACTGGGACATTCGAGGTCTGGCTGGCCACATTGCATCCTCGGAGTCGGGCCTCTGCCGTTGTAGTAGTGATCTATTTATTCAATTGAACTCTCACCGTCTGTGCATCCACGTTATGGCCTGCTGAGCAACAGCACACAAATCCGCGCAACGAATTCCCTGGGCCAAGTTCCGAGTGACATTACCTCGTACCCAGGTACGCACAGCCAACCAACGCACTAAAGTTCCAGTGAGCAAGCGACTGGACCCTACCTCTACCCTTATATTTCTCCACTGGTTTCTCAACCACCTGCTAACCTCGACCTTGTACAACAGGACGACATCTTTCTCCGATACTCATTCCTACCACGTCAAGCTGGCTCCGAGCTTCTAAGCTTCCCCTCTCACCGTCCACGCGAACGCCCTTTGGTATCTGTCGAAACGGTTTAATACTCAACAATGGCATCTGAAGCAGTTGCTAGCTCTGCCACCGAGGGCCTGACCCCGGCGCAGAAGCTTATGCAGGAACATGCCGACCACCATGTCACCGTCGAGGACGTCCCCGACGAGGACGAACTCGCCCATGCTCCTGCCTCCGACACCGCTGCTCCTCTCAGCGAGAAGGCCGCCGGCAAGCAAAAGGCCGACGACGCTCCTGCTGCCCCCAAGAAGCCTGCTCTGAACACCCAGTCCGAGGAGGCCTTCCCGGCTCTCGGTCCCGTCAAGCCTCGCGCTCAGGCGTCTGTTGCTCCTACCTGGGGCAAGAAGCCTGCCGCTGTCACCTCCAACGGTGTCAATGGCAGCGCGACCGCCCAGTCCGCTCCCACCCGTGGCCCCGCCCTCCCGTCCATGAACATCCCCGGCAAGCACACTGAACGCATCTCTCTTGCTGCCCACCAAGTCGCTCCCCGTGGTGAGCTGAAGAAGCCCATCAACGAGATTGTTCGCGATATCAACAGGCGCTCCAAGGCCAAGCTCGACTACAAGCAGGGCCAGGGAGCTCTCATCTTTGAGGCCACCGGTCCGGTTGAAGCTGTCAGGCAGGCTCTCAAGGAAGTCGCCAATGAAGTCGGCTCCAAGGTAAGCCACCTATGCATCTCAATGGAACCAAAGCTAACCGCTACCAGCAATCCGTCGATGTCCCCGTCCCTGCCTCCGTTCGTGCCCACATCATCGGTCGTCAAGGTTCCAAGATCCAGGAAATCAGCAAGCGCACTGGCGCCCGCATTCAGGTCCCCAAGGCCGAGCCGGGCGAGGATGAGGATACTGTGGTCAATGTTCACATTGAGGGCAATGCCCTGACTGCTGAGATGGCTCGTCGTGAGATCGATGCCATCGTCAACGAACGCACCTCGACCGTGAACCTGCGTCTGAAGGACATCCCTGCCGAGTTCTACCCCTTCCTTGCTGGTCCCAACAATGTCCATGCCGAAAGGCTTGTCCAGGGCCGCGATGTCAACATCCAGATTCCCCAGTACCACACTTGGCAATCTCAGGCACCTCCCCAGACCACTCGCGGTCAGCCCGCTCAGTTTGCGCCCCAGGCTAACTTCCCCATCCAAGTCTCTGGTGACCGTGCCGCCGCGCAGCAGATCCAGGCCGAGCTTGAGCGTCGTGCTCAGCAACTCCGCCAACAATTGGCTATCGAGCAACGATCCATCGAGCGTGGCCGACACCAGTTCATTGTCGGTGAGCGGGGCAACTCTCTCCATGACTTCCTCGAGGAGACTGGCTGCAGCATCGTCCTGCCCCCAAGCTCGGACGACAGCGAGACCGTTTACATCGTCGGCCCACCCAACAAGATCGAGCAGGGTATCAACAAGCTCGAGGATCTTGCTGCTAGCATGACCATGGCTACTGCGGACGCTGCTCGTGAGCACAAGGGTCCCAACTCGCAGGCACACGCACACAACCTGACGCGCTACCTGCGCCAACGAAAGGCCCTGGCCGATCTTGAGCGCATGCACGAGGCCAGCATTGTTGTACCTACTGACCGTGACGCACCAACTGGCTGGGAAATCTACGCTCGCGACGGAAAGAACAGCATGAAGGCCCGTGGCGACATCATGAGCCTCTTCCAGTCGCACCCACCCAGCCGCTTTGCGACCATGGACGTTGATCCTTTCTACCACCAGTTCTTGCGACAGCAAAACGCACCCAAGGTCCGACAGGATCACGGTGTTCACATTGTCTTCCCTGACGAGACTGAGCAATCACCAGAGTTGATCCTCGTCTACGAAGGCCAGACCCCGTACGATGAATACGCCATTCCTCGTGGCCGACCTTCTCCAGCTGAGATTAAGGCATACCAGCAAGGTCTGCAAGATGCTCAGCGCTTCATCCTTGGGTTGACCAAGAACCAACCGCAAATCGATACTCGTGGACTGGAATCTAACCCCAAGTTCCACCGCAAGATCGAGCAGTTTGTCAACGAACAGCAGCAGGGCCTCAACCCTGACCAGGTTCCCGTTCAGGCGCTGTTTGGCCAGCGACGACCGGAGCCTCACAGTCGCTCGAAAAACAGCTTCGCCATCCGTGGACCATCAAATGCTGTTGACGAGCTCAACGCCAAGATCCTCGCTTTCATCGAGCAAGCTGAGAAGGACGAGCTTGAGCGCAACCACGTCACTACCTTCGACTACCCCCAGAAGTATGCGAGTCATCTCGTCGGAAAGGGCGGAGAGAACATTCAGCGTCTGCGCCAGAAGTACGATGTTGATGTTCAGATCAACGACGGCAAGGTCGAGCTGAAGGGACCTTCAGCCAAGGCCCAGCAATGCAAGAAGGACATTCTTGACATGGCAAAGAAGCTCGAAGATGAGGCTACCCACATCTTGAAGGTTGCGCCTCAGTTCCACCGTGACCTGATCGGTGCTGGTGGCAAGCAGGTTGAGCGTCTTCAGGACCGCTATGGTGTACGCATCAACTTCCCCAGACGCGCACAAAACGATGACGAGGCGGGAGACGCATCGTCACAAAAGAATGTCAAGTCTGGTCAGAACCAAGACGAAGTCATTGTTCGAGGACCCAGGAAGGGTGCAGATGAGGCCCGTGACGAGGTACTCAGTCTGCTCCAGTACATCAAGGACAACTCTTTCAGCGACACCGTTTCAGTCGCTCAGAGCAACATCCCTCGTCTGATTGGATCAGGTGGTCGCGAGATGGAGAACATCCGCCTCGAGACTGGCTGCCAGATCGACGTTCCTGGTGCACGCGATGGCGCTGATCCATCTGGTCGCGCAGAGATCAAGCTCAAGGGTACCAAGAAGGCGGTTGAGGCAGCCAAGAAGGTCCTACAAGAGCGCGCCCGCGAGTTTGACGATACCATTGTTGAGACTCTGGAGGTTGACAGGAAGCACCACAGGAACCTCATCGGTGGCAGCGGTGCCAACATCCGCTCCATCGTTACCTCGGCTGGTGGACCTGACAACTCTCGTGACTTGGCTCGCATGGTCCGCTTCCCTCGCGCAGAGTCTGACGAGTCGGCTATTCGCGTTGAAGGTCCCAAGAATGTTGTTGAGAAGATTGTTGCCGCTCTCAAGGCGCAAGTCTCCTCGCTAGAGAACCAAACAACTGAGACCATCGAGGTTTCTCCTGACAAGCACCGTCTGCTTATTGGTCGTGGTGGCGAGACGCGTCGTTCCCTGGAGTCGCAGCTCAACATCCAGCTCGATATCCCTAAGCAGACTACCACTGGTGCTGCCCGTAGTCAGGTGAAGATCACTGGTGAGCCTGCTGCCGTCGAGAAGGCCAAGGAGCACATTCTTGAGCTGGTTAAGGGTCAGGAAGGCGAGACCATCCAGGTCCCCCGCCACCTTCATCACACCATCTCAGACAACGGCCAGTTCTTCCGTCAACTCAGGAACCAACACAAGGTTACCGTTGACCACGGCGGCGAACAGGTGCCCGCGAAGCCTGCTCAGGCTGAGGCCGGAAAGGCTAGGAAGGGTGCCAACGGTGCTCTGCCTTTGATCACTGATGACGCAAGCGCTGGTGCCGATTCACATTCATGGGAGATTGTCGACAACAACGCTCCAGAAGAGGGCGCTGACCTCACTCCCACCATCCCCTGGATCCTGCGTGGACCCACCGAGAGCCTTCCTAAGGCTCGCCAGAGGCTCGAGGATGCCATCAAGGCTGCTTCCAAGCCCTCCTCCACTGGCTACCTCATCCTGCCCGACCCACGAAGCTACAGGTAAGCTGGATCCTTCGGTATACACAGTAATCTAGCGATGCTAACATTTCACAGGCTCGTCGTCGGACCCGGTGGTGCCACAATCAACGACCTTCGCAAGAAGACCGGCACAAAGATTCAGGTTCCTCGCGACCAAGCCAAGGACGAGGCTATTGAGATCGTCGGTACCAAGGACGGCTGCGAGGAGGCTCGCCAGATGATCCTCGACATCGTCTCCAGGGGTGGTAACGGTGGTGGCCGTAGGGAGCGCGCTTAGGGGGTTTTCAGATTCACGAATATATAGGGATGTGACGACTCTTACTGTTTACCAAAAGCTTGGAGCATATTTCGGGGTTAAATGATCTTGTGGGCGCACATGATGTTCGTTTCAGCATGGGAAGGAGCATTTATGACTTCGTCTTGGTCGAACCTAAAATTGGGATATTGCTATAGCTGTAGAAGAATTACAGAGATGAAAGCTAACATGTTTGATCTTTGAAATGATGTAATGTGTGTTCGAGAATTAGAT